AAAAAAAAAAAAACACAGAATAAATCAAGGAGTATGGTAGGTATAGAGTAGCAAAGCCCATATCAACAAACCTGTGTAATCTCTTCTGGTGTGCTTATCATTATTGCCCTGCTTTTCAAGTCAGATATGACAGCATCAACTGCCATATTAATTCCGCTTCGCAAGTCCATCACATTTACACCAGCAGCCACTGACTTGCAGCCTTCCAAAAGAATTGCCTGAGTCAGGACAGTTGCACAAGTTGTACCTGTGAAGAGAAACATAATAGTCAATAGATCTCCAGCGTTAAGAATGTCTAACATGATAGGAGAAAAATTGAAGAAATGGTGTTTCCGTAATCAGAAACTAAAAGTTTCTTTATGTAGAATATAACAAATACAACTGAATCCATGCTTTGAACATGAACATGACAGAGATTTGCAAAATGCTCCTTTTTATTCTATCCAAGATGTCCGGCATACCTAGGATTCTATGATAATTTCAAGATAAAAAATATCCTATTTCCAAGTCAATTAAGCCATGATTTCCAGGAGGATTTTCTAACAGCAAGATCTTATCCCAGGACTCTCCAATCCAGATTAGCTTGGAATGAGGGCTTGGTTGAGTTGTCTTAAGTACTAAGAACATCAACTGTTTTGCTGACAAAAGAGTTACTTTTGGGGTACAAGTCCAAATAAACAACTTTCTAACAAGAAATCCTTGATCTTAAACATTGGTACATCAATAAATCCATGTTCAATTATAGCTTCTTTATCACATAAGGTTGAAAAATAATAAAAATTACCATCACCAGCAACTTTATTTGTGGCATTTGCAACCTGCTTTACAAGATCTGCGCCAACATTTTTAGCCTTATTCTTGAATTTGATGCTTTTGGCAACAGTAACACCATCCTTTGTGACTTTGGGATAGCCTGGGTTTTTCTCAATAATTACATTGCGACCCTGTATCAATAAATCAGAATGAAATCTATGACAAGAACATGTATAAATTTTGAGTTTCTAACTTTATATTGCAAGAAAATTCATGTATATAACAATATCATAATATTTTTTGGTTTTAACATATAAAATGGACAGCTAATCACTAATGATAGATTCTCAAGTATACCTTCATCCTTCAAGTGTTTTATATAACTAGAAAAATAGAGAAAAGATATGACTCTTACAACAGCCAATCCAACTACAAGATGCTACAAGACTATGTTCTAATTTCGCTTACCAATTAGATGAATTCTTGAAATATTAACATACAATTCATTTACCATCATGGACAATTTGATCTAAACAGGTAACATGCATATGATCTACTGTTAAGCACCATAGGAATATGTTGGGTAGTGAATATGCTAATAAAGTACAAATTTTACACAAGCATTACACCTACCAAATACAAATCAACCAAATTTTTTTTTTCTGATCACACAGTACAAATTACGAGCTGCTGTAAGAAATTCATCATTCACAAAGTCCCACGGTTAGAAGTTTTTGTTAATAACAATTCCCATTATCATATCTAATATTTTTAATTATTCCACTGGTACGGAAAAGAATGATAAAAGAAGTCAATGTTAGTGCCCATTACCTTTGGTCCCATCGTGACTTTTACAGCTTCTGCAACCTCAGAAACACCCTGCAGCATAGCTGCACGTGCCGCAACCCCAAAATTGATATCCTTAGCCACATAATTCCTATTGCAAATTACCCTACCATAGACCTGTCCAATTCAAATCATCAAGCAACCAAAGCAAAGAAATGTTAAGTTTCACTAATATCCATCAAAACCATTCCCCAATAAAATATATATTTTTTACTTTAAGAAGGAACACAGAAAACTTTCTACAACTATTTCGTAAACCATCTCTATATGTTCATTATTGCAAAAGTATCTAAAAAAGCATATATCTAATTGAACCTAATGCAACTTTGGGGTCGTAGAAACTTTTGGACTTTCCATTTCATTTCTTCTATTTCCCACATTTCCTCATCATACAAACAGATGGTAAAATGAGAAAACTTTTAAATTCGACAAGAAAAAGAAAACAAAATGAAAATCAAAGAGAAATCAACGTAACGTGTCAGAATTTCTTACCAGTTTTTTCGAAGTCGAAGAACTGTAAAAAAACGAAGAAGAAGAAGAAGAGAGGAAAAAGAAATGAGTTCTCACATATAAAGCAAACCCAAAAAAAAAAAATACTATAACGCATATGAACATGAATCATATGTGATCTTAAAGGAGCATTACCTGATAAATGAAGCTAAATTTGAAGCTCTTCGATACATGACTGAGATGGAATTTTTATTTTATACAGCAAAAAATATTTGAAGAATATCAAATTCAAGGACTTGAAAGACAGATTCCGACGGAGTCAAAGAGTAGGGTTTTAGCCTGGGGTTTAACGGTTGGGATGTCTCAAATATGGACCGTCTAGTGTATCCAAATTTGAGTCCGATTCACTGCAAAATCAACTATACAAATGGGCATCTTTCTACCCGAAAACAATGGGCCGCTTTCCTCTCTCTATTTTTTCTTGCAAAAATGGGTTTGTTTGGTTTTGGGCCTGTTGTTTGTTTAAGAGTGCAGACATATTCATACTTGTCATGTCATGAAATGACATTGGAAATTTGCAAGACAGTCTCTTTCACGAGTCCCTTTCCGAGTAAAACACTTCCACCTTTTAAGTTTTAGTTAAAATTTTAAACAAGTTTATTAATTTTTAACATAAACATTCTATATTAAAATACAAACATCCCTAATAAATATTAAAAATAAATTAAAATACTTTTTTATTAATTTTTAAAATTATTATTATATTTTTATAATATCGAGAAGGACTCTGTTGCTCCCTTGGAGAGGTTTTTTTTTAATTAATAAAATTATATAATAATAATTTTAAAAATTAATTAAAAGTAAAATTATTTTTTATTTTTGTTTAATCATTAAATTGATGAAAATATTAATAATTGATTAATAAAAAATAGTTTTTATAACAAAATGTTTATTTTAAAAAATAATATATTTTTATGTAATTTTAATTAAAAATAAAAATATATTATTTTTTAATTTATGTATTTTATTTGTCCCATGATTATTGGTTATACATTCTACCGGCCTGCTGCTTGCCATCTCATCTGGCATAGAATTTGGATGCTGAACACTACTGCTATAAGCTGGCGTCTGAAGACGAACCACTCTTTGACAAATGACAAACCAATTAGTTTCGTATCATTGTCATGCCCACTAACTCTTCCATTGTTTTTTGTTTCCAGCAATGTTCACCACTAATTCTCCTAATAAATATTACAACACTTCATTGATTGAAACGTTTTAAACAACATATCAACATCAATTAATTACAATTATTCTTAGAACGTAATTATTGATTATATATTAATAAAAATTAATTAGTATTATCCATGATTGGCTATCTCAATTAACATGTTAAAAACCCCAAAATTAGTTATTAATCTTCTTGATTCTCCAAAGGGCTTTAGACCCTTTTATGCTTCAAAGTTAGATTTTTCATTTTTGTGAAAAGCAATATGTTGTGTTAATTCCTACGAAGATACTGATCATGCAGGTCTTTAGTGTACAACACATTGACAATGCTACTCCCAGGTTTTTTTTATTATTTTTGTTATTATTATTATTATAAGGATTAAGGGAGAGGATTTTTTAAAGAAAGAAGAGCAATTCTTTTTGTTCTTTTTTTCAAATATATGTTTCTTGTTCAAGGAAAATCGTTAATTTACTGCATGTTATTGTTTGATCCAATCACTGCTGCATTAAATATAGCATAATTCACGTGCCACCCACATTCTAGTATATCTTTTTTCTTTCGAAAAGAAGGCTTTCCAGTGTTTTCCAAGAAACGCTAGCTAGCTTTGAGAATTGAGACGCCTCCCAACAGCTAGAAACCACCCAGCCTGCGACCCTACTTTAATAACACCCACAACTATGATTGCACTCCCTTACCTTCAGAATCTGCCACCGACACTAATATTTTATTTTATGCACCTATTTTATTTATTTTTTCTTTTTATTTTTGTAGTCCAATTGATTAACTAGGATGGAGAGGTAAGACTTTTCCATATTCGGGGAATGACGTGACAACCACTAAAAATACCTACTAATAGTTTGGGAGAAACTATATACGTGTTGATTCTGAGTCATACAATTCAAACGACTATCGCCATCGGGGGGCCACCACTGCTTGCAATTTAAGCAAAGCCAGCGAATTGCTTAAACATTTTTAACTCATCAGAAAGGATTTTCCTCTTTCTCTCCCCAAAGATTGTACATAAATGTTTTGGTAATTTCTCTTCATCAAGCATTTTTCCATGTTCTTCTTTTCCTTTTTCTGTTCGAGACAAAAATACAACAGACTTTCCTTACAAAACAATTTCTCTAGAAAACCCTGCACGTCTAAGGCGAAAGAGGACAATGTCTGTCCATCTAATTAATTTCTTTCATTCGACTTTTTGCATGTGAAAAATTGGAAAAAGGGGAAGTTCGTCTCAACAATAATAATAATATATGAAAAAGTTTGATTAATCTTTAAGTGGAATAAAATGTGATTTTAGAAAGTAATATATATACTGAACAATGTGTAGTGGAATTTGTTTCGGAATTTAGGTGGTAATACACTGTCGGTGGAGTATTGGAATTTGGAAGTCTAAGTTTCAATGAATCTTAATCTACGGGCAAGTGGAATTTGTTTCGGAATTTAGGTGGTAATACATTTAGCCTTGTCAAGTTGAACGCCCAAAACCAAACTTCGGATATTACCACTTAATGGTCAACCCAAGTAAGTCAAAAGATGACTCGTTAGTTAAATTGAAGTGATAAATCCAAGGTTTTTCAGTCAAAAATTATTGGCCAAGGGCAATGCCAATCCATGGGGTGACCTTTAGCGCCCCCAATGGCCATGGCAAAGCACGAGGGGCACAACAACTCAATAATTTTAGATGACTTTTGTTGAAGTGAAGTTTACAAAATTTCGGTCCTCCACTTTTCACTTTAAAATAGGATTCGATTTAAATCTCCTTTCGAGAATAACTATCGGGAAAAAAATGTAAAGGATTTAATGCAAAATATTGTAGGTTAATGTAATCTAGTCCCAAGCAAAAAGTGCCAAACAATCTCTATTATATATTTAGAAGTCAAAAAAATAATTTATTTAAAGAAAATACTTTTTTTACTGTAAATTTGCCCAATTGAAAAGGGCAATTGTACACTAATGAACAAAGGACTAACAACAAAAACAAAAACCAAAAAAAAAAGGGAAAAAAAAAATCAAAAGTATACATTACAAATTTCTAGTATATCCTATTATTACAGTCACTCACCAAATTTACAAAACATATCATCACTCAAAAAAAAATAGAAAAACACAAAATTTAAGAAAAAAATATATGAAGATAAAAAATAGAATAAACATCAAACCTTTTTCTCCGCCATTCCTTCTCTCCTCTCATCAGAAAGTCCATTTCCAGATCTTGATCCTTAAATCAACCTTACACTTTGCATTAGAAGTGGAAGCTGTGGTTGCTGATTTCCCCTTCGGAGCAGTAGCTTTAATCCCTTCACAAATAACCCTAATACCAAGCTTCGGTGTCTTCAATGCTCCCATCTTCGCTTTCACTTTAGTGACCAGCTTTATGTTTAATGGCAGCCCGTTCTTGCTATTCAAAGCAGTCTTTAACTTGCCGGCTGACGTGTCATCGAGTTGTTGGTTGCTAGCTATGGCAGCTTTCAAAAGCGTCGTGTTCTTGGTGCCATGGACAAAGGAACCGAATGAACCATCCCCAATATCGATATCGTCGTTTGTAATAAGAGATATGGTGATGGGGTCGTAGGTGTAGACGAGTTTTTTGTTAGGGTTTTTGGCTGTGACGTTGAGGTTGATGTTGGTGATGAGCTTGGAACCGGAAGTTATGTTAAGAGTTGAGACTTTGAGAGAGGAAACTGTGAAAGTCGGGCGGTGAGGGCGGTAAAGAACGTACAGAATAGCACCGGCTATGGCGGCTAGGAGGATAAGGAGGAGGATAGCTACGCTGGTCCAAAGGCAACAAGAGCAGCAGCAGGAGCGGCGGTAGCGATTGCGGTTGGCTTGTGGGCGGTAGAGAGGGCGGGAGGCTCCGTATAGTTGGGCTTTAGTGCTGGAAAGGAAGGGTTAGCGGTGGTGGCCGGGCTGCGCCGCCATTGCCGCTGGTTTGGTGATGGGTAAACCCTGTCGGTCATGGTGGGAGAAAAAGAGATAAGAAATGAGAAATGAGAGAGGGAAGAAGAAAAAGGGCCTGCTTTCGTGTTCAAGAGAAAATAGTTGTCTGTCCTTTCTTTATACTAAAACTTTTTATTTATGTAGGTGGGTGCGTGTGTTTGAGGGAGAGTGAGAAAGGGGGAGAGAATGGGCTTGTTTTGAACTGAAGCAACAAAGGATAAGTGTTTGTTCGGTTGTCCTTGAGAGGTGACACATGATAAGGTTAATTGACCAAGCAGAAGGCAAGTGAGGGGAAAAGGTAGGATTGGGGAAAAGGGCAGGGAGGTGGAATGGCAAAGAGAGAGACAGCAATGTTGCAACCAAAAACAAAGCAAAAGGCTACGCGCTTGTTTACGGACGTGGCGTTCACTCGTACTAGCAGTAGTTTGATTTTGTTTAACCTTTCAACCATGGGTTGAATTAGAGATTCCAATGATTAATAGCTTAGGGTTACAATAATATGCACATTCGAGAAAGCATGCGCTTGCATCATTTCCCATCAATTTATGCTCACACATGCTTTTTTTATTCCTCTTCAAAAGCTGCTTTGTCATGCATTGAGTGTAACCCTCATGTCTCAACATGTGAATTCCATGGAAGCTATTATATGTGAAACATGTGTTACAATTAATTAATTTGAACATAATAATACATTTATAATATTTGAATATTTAACTCAATAATAAATATGTATTTTCTTTATTTTTGTTAATATTCCTCTTGATTTAAGGTTACCATCAAATGAAAAAGGTCATCCATTTTTGTTGAGGATTGCAAATGGGGCGCATCTTTTCTTTTCTTTTCTTTTTCTTATACAATAAAGAAAAATCTTAAATTGATAAAAACTAACGTGTGACATGCATGATAGGTGCAAATCAGACGTTTTCACACTAAATGAAGTTGAAATTTTAAGGTGGGAGAGTGTGATTGCAGCAATTGAGTTTGACAAAGTACCAAAGATCGACAACTTAAATTAGGAAATCAATTAATCAAAGTCTTTGTTTTGAGAAGGAAATTAACACACATTTGACGAAGTGAATTAAACGCGTCTAATTAATGAGAATCAATGGACTTTAATTAAACTTATAGCTACCTAGCCTTATCATTTCTCAACAAACATAGATGTTTCCATGTTACCTAATCTCAAATTTCAGACTTC